TGTCAAGCTATATTTATTTCCCTAAGCCTTTCCTCATGGGCTCTTACTTGTTTTTCTCTTTTTTCCTCAGCTTCCTTCCTTACCATCAACTTGTTTTCTATGTCACTCACTCTTTCTTCTACCTCATTAACTCTCACAGTTAGAACATCCAGTTTGGATCACATCTCATTTAATCTATTTTTAATTTCAGCCTGATTAGGTCTCAATTCTGCAGTAACGAAGTCTCTAGAGTCATTTATGCTTTTTTCCAGGGCCACCAGTGGCTTTATAATTGGACTTCCAAATTGAATTTCTGACATCGTATTGAAATCCAAATTCTGTAACTCTGTGGCAGAGAGTACTGTATCCAGTTCTTTCTTTTGTGGTGAATTCTTCCTTCTAGTCATTTTGTCCAGTGCAGAGTGGCTGTATGAGCAGGCTAAGTCAAAAATATCAACCACGACCTAAGTAAAATACATCCTAGATGATTCTGAAGAGGTCAGAGACCAGGGAAAAAAAAGAAAAAAAGAAAAAAAGAAAACAAAAGGACCATTAATGTGAAAAACAAATTTTAAAACAAAGTAGTAAAAATAAAAAGCCAAAACCTAAAAACAAAGAAGAAAAAGGAAAAAGAAAAAGAAATAAAGAAAAGAGGAAAAAGAAAAAATAAGGGGAGGAGATGGTGGTGGTGAGGAAGTGGTAGAGGAGAGAGAATGTAGTCTACTTGAGGAGTCCTAGAGGGTGATCCTCTTGGTTCTGAGTGTATTTTGTCTGTTAGAAGATGCTTAATCTCACACTTATATAAACCAGCAATACTTATATAAAGCCCAACATTGACAAAAACATAAACAAGATAAAAGAGGGGGGCAGAATGGGAAGGAAGAGAGAATATAATCTCACAGATTGCAACAGTGCAGTATTCCACTTGGTTCTAGGTGTATGTTGGTCGTGTTTTAGAAGGTGCTAACTTCAACCATTGTAAACCAAAACGAGGCAGAAAAAACAGAAAACAAAAGAACAAAAACCCCTGTCTCATATATCTACCAAAATTAAATTGAATATGTTGAAGGGAATTCAGAAGTGAAAAATATATGTAACACATGTAATTGTAGAAATATTAAAGTCAAAAGGAAAAAAACTTAAAAATGAAGAGCTGGTAAAATATTGTAGTTAAGATGGGAAAGGAGAAAAAATATTGGAAGTTCTTAGTTTGATGTAAAAATGAGTCATAATGGAAAAGGGGAAAAAAAGGACCTTCTAGTTCTATATACTATTTTCCCTCAGTCCTGGAGCTATCCAGCACTGCTTGGTCAAGAACTTGCTCTTCCCCTGTCCTTCTAGCTGGTCTTCTGGGGGAGGGGCCTACTGTGCTGATTCTCAGGTGTGTGTACCTGGGGGAGATGCCCCGCCCCCTTCTGGGTGCCGGGCTCAGTGGGAGCTGTTTACCCCCTGAGGACTCTGTTCCCTGGTGGCCTTGCCTCTCCCAGGCACAAGGCACAAAGAGGAAAAACAGCACTGGCAGCAGCCAGATTTCCAGCTCTGGAGTCAGCTCATCGCGTGTAGCCAACTGCAGTCTCCCAGTCCGCACTGGCCTAGGTGCTCCGGGGGCCAGTGTGGTTCACTGATCTGCACAGCTTGGGGGCGCCCAGTGGCAGGAGAGTCCTCGCCATCCTGTGCCCTCCCTGCCTCCACCCTGGTCCAGGGAGAGTGCAGGATTGTTGGCTTTGTCCGCTGGGTGCTCTGGGATCCGGGGCTCTGTGCTGTTGGGCCCGCAGTCCGGGGGCCGCCTCTCCCGAAGGGAATGGGGCACAGCCACCTCCGTCTGGAGCACCCCCCCCGCCCGCCGTGTGCCACAAATTCAATTTTTATTTTTATTTATTTATTTATTTATTTTTTTAAATTTTTATTTATTTATGATAGTCACAGATTGAGAGAGAGAGAGAGAGAGAGAGAGAGAGAGAGAGAGGCAGAGGGAGAAGCAGGCTCCGTGCACCGGGAGCCCGATGTGGGATTCGATCCCGGGTCTCCAGGATCGCGCCCTGGGCCAAACCACTGCGCCACCCAGGGATCCCCAAATTCAATTTTTAAATAGATATGGAGTTAGTAGAGTTATCAATCCCGTCTTGAATAAGATTTAATAGTTTGTGCCTTTTAAGAAATTTGTTCATTTAACCTGTTGAACTTACTGGCATAAAGTTTTTTATAATATGAACTTATTATCTTTTTAATATCTGTAGACTCTTTCATTCCTGATAGTGGTAGTTCATGTCTTTTATCTTTTTCCCCCTAATCTGTTAGATTATAGGTTTATCCATTTTATTGATCTTCTCAAAGAACTAGCTTCTCTGTTGTTTTTCTTTTTTCTATTTCATTGGTTTTCAGATTAAAGATTCTATTCATTTATTTATGAGAGACACACACACAGAGAGGCAGAGACACAGGCAGAGGGAGAAGCAGGCTCCATGCAGGGAGCCCGAGATGGGATTTGATCCTGGGTCTCCAGGCTCACACCCTGGGCCGAAGGCAGCACTAAACGGCTGAGCCACCAGGGCTGCCCTCAATCTAATCTTTATTACTTCTCTTCTCTGCTTAGTCTGGATTTCATCTGTTGTTCTTTTTTGAGTTTAAAGGGGAGGCTGAGGACATTAAGTTCTACCCTCATTTTCTAATGTAGGTGTATAGCATTATAAATTTCGTACAAATTTTTTTGTGTTCTCATTTTCATTAAGTTAAAAATACTTTCCAGTTTTTCTTTTGATGTCTTCCTTGGACAATAGGCTATTTTAAAATATTTAAAATATTTAATTCAGCTTCCAAATTTTGGGGGGATTTTCTAGATATCTTTATGCTATTCATTTTTTATTAAATTTCTTCAAAGTCAGAAAAAATACTTTATATGATCTGGATATTTACAATTTTATTGAGCCTTGTTTAATGGTTCCAAATATGGTCTATCTTGGCAAACCTTCTGTCTATACTTGAAGAGAATCTGCATTCTATTGTTTTGGGGGATAGTGTTCTAGCAATGCCAATTAGGTCAAGTTGATTGATAATGGTATTTAAATCTGTTATATCCTTACTGATTTTCTATTTACTTGTTCTATCGATTATTGAGAGGGAAGTGTTGAAATCACCAGTCATAATTGCAGATTTGTCTGTTTTTTTCCCCCTCTTTGCAATTCAATTAGTTTTTGTTTCACGTATTTTGAAGCTCTGGCATTAGGTGCATAAATATTTGGAATTGTTGTGTCCCTTTGATGAACTGCCCCTAACCTTAGGTTCCTAACCTAAGGCATGTTCTAAGTATTTGTGGAATTAATGAATTAATAAATAACTGCTGATATTTTCTAAGGAAGTATGAGTGTGACTATGGAAAATTCCTGTAACTCCTCTAGACCAGTTTCCTTACTTTAAGAATGGTAAGGGAGTGGTAATAGATGAATCTGGGGGTGGTGGTGGTAGATAGGAGATTGAAGAGTGTTTTTTAAACCTTGCTGTGCAGGACCCCTTGGTTTAGCATGGACATCGTCCTCAGGAGAGCCCCCTACCCCACTGCCATCCCAGCAAGTAAGTGGGACTCTAGGTATTTTATATATTGACTTCGTATGTCAAGTTTCAGGTGACTGGAGGGCTCTTGTACTAAAGGAACTTTGAAAAGCACAGAGTTAAACATCCTGTGAGGTTTTCCCAGCTCCAAGATTCTAAGTCTCCAAGGCCACTCCTCTCAACCAACAAGACTATGAGAAAATGCCTCATGATACCCAATGCAAACATTACAGCTCTCAGTAGGAAGGCAGCAAAATTCAGAGGAAGAGCCCCTGAGGGAAGCAGCCACGAAACAGGCAGTCCATGACTCCTGCACTGACTGGCTGAGTGACCTTGAGTATGACCATCAGCATCTCTGTCCACACTAGAGATACAGATTCTCATTTGGAGAGTCTCAAAAAGAGACTTTCTCAATTAGTATTTAAGATTCTCCAGAACTGTGTGTATGTGTGTGTCTGTCTTTAAAAACAGGGATGCCTGGGTGGCTCAGTGGTTGATTGTCTGCCTTTGGCTCAGGGTGTGATCCTGGGGTCCTGGGATCAAGTCCTGCATTGGGCTTCCCACAGGGAGCCTGCTTCTCCCTCTGCCTCTCTCTCTGTGTCTCTCATGAATAAAAAAAATCTTAAAAAAAATAAAATAAAAACATAGACCATAACTTGGGCAACGACTATGGCATTTCACTGGTGATCTCACTGTTACATACAAGCTCATCAGATTTCCTGTCTGGGTTTCATTCATTTGGGACTTGGGTAACAGGAAATATAAGGGTTGGAGGGGGTGTCCCATTAGGGCAGGCTGGCATAAGTGAAGGCCTGGAGGAGGAGGGAAGTGTGTGATGTTTGGCAGAGACTTATGCAGGGGTGCAGAGAAGAGGGGGTGGTTCTGTTGTTGGCCTCACGCAGGCTTGGATTTAATTTAGAAGGAGATGGGGAGTTAGTGAATGTGGAGCAGGACGGTGGCGTGGTTAGGAGGTGCTTCAGGGAAGTTAACTGAGTGTGGCTACAGAAACGAAGTGGAACAGAAAATCTATAAGGCAGAAGCATAAGTATGGAAGGGACACACTGCCAAGGATAGAATCAGGGATCAATATAGCTCTGAGTGATGAGGTTTGGGCTGATTTTACTTTCTATTGTGTTTTCTTTTTTCTTTCTTATTTTTTTAACACTCCATATATATATGTATGTGTCTATATGCATATATACACACATATATCATATATATAATTATATGACATTAGAAAAGATCATAAAGCTATTGTCATAAACATTAATAAATGCTGAGATTGTTAAAAGGCTAAAGCATTGATATTCTTCAAACAATAAATGCTGGCAAGCAACTTCAAAGGTGAGATACCGTTGAATATTTGTAACTCCAAAAACAGAAATAATATTCCTAATTCATGCTTCTGTTTTCTTATAAAGTAAGTCCTGAAACAGGGGAACATAGAACACGAGACTTGCTGAGTGGTCACTTACGAATATATAAAGCGGGTCATAATTTGGAGACATGGCTAAGGCGTCAGGTGGTCTCATGCCCAAGACCGAGGTCTTGCCAGGGAGCTGGGGTGTAGAGTCCTGCTTGGGCAGAGTAATGATGGTGGCCTCATCCTGTGAAGGGACCAAGCATTGTGTTAGTCTTGATGTTAGGACAAGAGGGGAAATGTGAGGGCAATTCTTAAAGGTGGGGATATATTACCTCTGCCCCTTGCTTCAGAACTCGAGCAAGCTTTTGAGGTTTGTAGCTTGTTGATGATTTCTGGACACAGAATGGCTGATACCCTTTAATTTTGTACTGTTGAGGAACCTAAGGTCAGAGGTCAGAGAAGACAACTGATTGAATGTTCTTAAACACTCATCACCCATTAATGGGATTTAATTCTCAATAGCCACATTTTTGAGTTGCCTGATGATGATAAAAGGAAAATGACCACCATGTTGTAAATATCACATTGTGGGAACTATTAGTATGCCCAGCACTGGAGGGATGTTAGTACAAGTCCCAGACCTGCTCCAGGTCCCTGTTCTGGGTATCAGCACACGTGTTGTATATTTGCAATTACTCTTGTGTACCATAGGGCTTCCCTGTAGAAATACATGGAACACTGGTTTGTGAATTTGCAATATTGGTATTTTCAAAACCAGGAGTGGCTATATACATCAAGAAAGGCTGACTAACTTTTGTTCAATTCACCTTGTGTTTTTTCTTAAAATCGCTAATAAATGTAGTTCAGATAGCTTCATGTATGCATAATACATTGTATATCCACAGAGTAAAGATCCTGGTTTCCATAAATCACATGTGTTATAATTGCACATACATAAAATAACAGCAGAAAAATACATGTAGTATGCTATGGTGTATAATCTATAATAGAACAAAACTAATAAAATGATATAAATTCAAGAATATTATGTTTACTTCATAAGAAATCCATTAATTAATATCATATGACAAGTCTGACCTGCAGACTGAGGAAGGAATAACTCTGCTTGATTTGAGTTTCTGAAGATTTAATTGGAACTGGTCCAAGGCCATCAGGAGCCTAAAATGTGGAAATTCAAAAACATTGACACATAATCAATGAGGAGCAAAAGTAGCTGTGTTTCTATTGCCATACATCCTGTAACCTTCCTGTGACCACAGTTTCTACTTGATGTGTAGGGCATGGAGGCAGCGTTGACCAACCTCTCCTCCTTGTCTTGTGGTGTATGTGATCCCTTTTTATTTTCTACTATTGTGGGTACTGCCACTGACATCCAGAATCCCCTTCAGGCTTAAAGGATTCAGTTCCCCTACTTGGAGGCGTCCTGTTAATGAAAACAATTTTCAAGGATCAGTCCTTTTCAGGAGTTGCCTTGGCTGAAGGGAGCTGTCTCACTGAGGTTATGTGTCCTTCCTAGGGCAGCCTGCCTTCAATCACAAGTTGAAACAAAGGTATAAATATCAGGTCCTCTGACTTCATTCCAGCTTTGGAGCTCCTCATGAGTACAGCTGAGGCTTTTGTCCAGAATAGCCGTGCTCCTTCTCCCTGTCCACACTGGTTCCCACTGCTACCCTTCCATAGGGGCTAATCTCCAAAGCACTATTTTCCTGCATGCTGTCTGCTTCAGTCATCCAGAGAATCTGGAACAGTGTCTGACTTACTATGGATACTCCATAAATACTCTACTTCACCTAATCTAGGACACCATCATTTTTTAAAAAAGATTTTATGTATTTATTCATTCATGAGAGACACACAGAAAGAGAGAGGCATAGACACAGGCAGAGGGAGAAGCAGGCTCCATGCAGGGAGCCAGACGTGGGACTCGATCCCAGGGCTCCAGGATCACACCCTGGGCTGAAGGCAGGCGCCAAACCGCTGAGCCACCCGGGCTGCCCAAGGACACCATCATTAAAGTAATATGATACATTGCTAGTATGCCGTTGCTTATATGACATTTCCCAAATTCAAAGCCACTAAATATAAAAAGAATTGATGAAATAAAGTATCTATGGAGTGAACTACAAATCTTTATAGACAGGAGTGCTGAGCATTCTTTCGTCAACCCTAAGTTGATGAAGAGAAGTCTTTGTAGAACTAAGGCACCAAATGAAATGTGTAAGATGGGAACTGCTCAAAAATAATGAGGTGGGCAGCATTGTGCCCACAGGCAAGAAAATGAACTGTCACACCTCTTGCCAGAGAAAGACAGAACTGTGAGTCTCTTGAGTTGAGCATCAGATCTGGGGGCCACTCTTCTCTGGCATCTCCATTTGCCTATAAAGCAGGAGGGCCCAGCTGAGCAGGGCCTGCCTGCCGAGGCCAGGCCTTCTTAGATTCTCCATCTGCCCTTTGTTTCTCAGGCCCTGTTCCTGGGCTATCAGGAGGGGACTCTTGTTGGGTTCCAGGCTGGAGCACCCAGCCCAGGTTACCAGGGAGCTCTGCACAGGTGTATCAGGTGCCAGGTATGTGGCAGTAAATGATCTCTGGTTTCCCACTGATCATGAGTCCCTGGGCAAAGATGTCCCCTGGGAGCCTCTCAGGAGGAAGTGGAAGGACAGAGACTAAGGTAGGTCTCTTGCCTTGATATCTGCCTAACAACCACCATTTGATGGTGCCCGATCCCTACCCCACAGCATAACAGCACCCACCAACTCATTGGAGCTCTGAGGAGGACTGTAGGACGGGAAGGCGAAGGGGAGCACTTCCTTAGGTGACACAGAGAACCTGCTGGAGTAATCATCTTGACTGATCTGACCCAGGAGGTATCTGGAAGCATTTTTGTCTGTGGGTGAAAACAAAAGAGCACTTTTAGGGGAGCTCATGGGGAGTATTTGTATGTGAAACCATCATCTTTATTTGCCACACACCAATCAGTGGGCACTTGCCTCATGCCATTTGGAGAAGAATATATATATATGTGTGTGCATGCATATGGTCCCATTTCTAGTTTTCTTTTGTTCTTTACCCTACCCTTTCCCCAGTTTTTTTTAAAGAAGATTTTATTTATTTATTCATGAGAGACACAGAGACACAGGCAGAGGGAGAAGCAGGCTCCCTGCAGGGAGCCCAATGTGGGACTCGATCCCAGGACCCCGGGCTCATGACCTGAGCCAAAGGAAGACACTCAATCACTGAGCTACACAGGTGCCCTTCTTCTCCAGTTTTTAAAGATTTATTTACTTCCAAAAGCTACAATTCCTAATGAAAGCATCTCTGATGAATATTCTTTGTCCTTGTCAGTAAAGAAAAAGATGATGTGAGAAAAAGCTCATGAAGACATTTTACAGGGGTCCTTACATAATTCACAGATGAATATTACAATATTTTAAACAAGAATTTCTTCATTAGAGACATCAATAATGGACATCAAAATAACATAGGAGGAATTTTTAAAAAGCAAAATTAAAGAGCAAAAAAAAATGGCTCTGAAAAACAAAATACCCATCTAGATCTTGCAAGGGAGGAAGAAGAGGAGCAGGTGCTCAGGTTCTGAGCCTGGGCACCAGAGTTCCTCCTTCCCTTGGAGCTGTGTGGATCCTGTGCCCTGGACATGGTTTGGGGGCACTGTTTATGAGGAGGGACAGGGTCCCACTGGATGTCATGCTCAGTGGCTGCTGGGTGTGTTCACTGTGAAGGACTAGACAGGCTGCTTGTCCTCTATAGGACTCTAAGCCCTGCACCTGCTGCCCCCCAGCCCACTCCTTTGGTCCACCCTTCCATGGTGAAGTCCAGCCCGCTCCCTTTTGTGATGAATGGCAAGTATTTTTTTGCCTCTCATGATGGACTCAATAAACAGCACTTGGATCAGGCTGAAAAACACCCCAAGAGCATTAAAATACAATAAAATGTTTTGAAAAAAGTACCCATATAGCTCTTGAAAGAGGAAGAATGAAGAGCCAGGCTCAGGGGTTCAAGCTAGGGAGGGCAGGAAGGGCTTGGAAGGACTGGCGCCAGCCCATGGGTCTGCATATGAGCTGCAGGGTGAAGAAGATGGTGATGGGAGCCCAAACAAAAGCCATTGAGAGTGTGCCTCCAATGGCTTAGTCAACCCAGGGCATCCAAGGACTGGAATTCCTTTAAGTAGCGAAGATAAAATGAGATAAGAAGCTTTACATGCAGGACACCTCCATGGCTCAACTGTTTGAGTGGACAACTCTTGATATCAGGGCTGAGAGTTCAAGCCCTGTGTCGGGCTCCATGCTGGTCATGAAGCCTACTTTAAAAAAATAAAAATAAAGCTTTACGTCCAAGTGCTAAATTGTGACAACACTCAGTGCAGCCAGTCAGTCAACAAGTATGAATGTCGACCATCCTGGTCTCTCTGGTGTTGAGAGAGAACTGAGGGCACGAAACAAGAAGTCAAACCACAGCCAAACTTCACAGATTTCACAACTTGGCTGGGTCAGCTGGCCTAGCTAACTATCGGTTGGGCAGGCATTTCAGCCAAACCTGGCATGGAGGTCTGAATCAAGTCCTGGGCAGTAGGCTTGATGGCAGCTCCCCTCCCAAGAGGTACACATTCTGTGCCCTGGAAGCTGTGACTTTGTTACCTTCCACGATCAAAGGGACCTTGCAGGTGTGAGTAGGTTAAGGATCTTGAGATTGGGAGATTATCTTGGGTTATCCGGGTGGGCCCAATGTTGTCAAAGAATCCTTGTGAGGGGAAGGCAGGAGTGTCAGGGTCAGAGGAGATGTGACAAATGAAGCAAGAGGTCAGAGTGATGTGAGGAACGGGCCTCCAGAAGCTGGGAAGGCCAGGAACAGACCTCCAGAAGGAGCCAGCCCTGCTGGCAGCTTGATTTTTAGACTTCTGACCTCCAACAATATAAGATCATACATTTGTTCTGTCTTAAGTCATGAAGTTTATGGTGATTCATTACAGTGGCCACTAAAAAAAAACCAACAAGGACCTAATAGATGTGATTTACGAAAATGTTTTACGTCTATGCAGCTAACTTTATTATACAGAAAAGTTATGCTCAGAGGACTTAGGGTCAAAGTTTTGCTGCCCTTGGCAGCCGTGCTCTACCTGTTACTATAGACTGTCTTCCTTGGCTCAGCTTTCTGATTATGGTCTCTTTGTCTATATTATGAATAGCAGTCAGCATCCTGAGTAATCTTCGATGAACCATGATCTGGAATTAGAAGCGATGATTTCAAATTACTAATTGGCACATGTTCATTTTGACATTCAGTTTGATTCACTTTCCCCAGCCATGGCTGAGCCCCCTGCTCTAAGCGAGAATTCACAGGGGCAGTGGCACACTGCCCTAAACTGAGGCCATGGGGACTTCAAGGTCTTGGCAATGTTGACCGGCCTGGATACAAAAAAAGACGGAGTTGTCATCTGGCCTTGTCCCGCCCAATTTATGAGCCCCATTTTTCTATTTTCAGAGTGGAAAGACTGACTAGTTCCACATTCCTTCTTTTCAGTGTATCTGAATTATAACGCTCCCACCGTGTTATTTTCAAAGTGGAGGGACCAAATAAATGGATGATTCCATAGGACTAGGTCTGTGGATCATGGGCGATGCTAACTGTATACCACTGGGCTTTGCACTCTGAATGCATGCTGCTGGAAGGGACTGCTATCTGTGCACGAAGCTGTGGCTGAAAGGACCATTCCTTCCACAATTAATACCACTTTCCATCCTGTCAGGGACTCTCATTTAACAAATAAATAGTATGAATTGCCAATGCTGTGACCAGTTCTGTTCAAGGCATTACAGATACAGTGAGATCAAACAATTGCCCTGCTGTACCCAACTGGGGTGTGTGTGTGTGTGTGTGTGTGTGTGTGTGTGTGTGTGTATGTGTGTGTGTTGGTGAGGGGTGGTGGTGGTTTACAATAAACATTTAAATGAATCAACAAGATAACTACCATGAAGAAAAGGAAAAAGAGTAAATGCATGAGGGCATGCCAGAGGGGCTGGAAAGGGGGGTGGTCTGGCCACTGATGCAAGGGTAATTAGCTAAGACCTCACTGAGGACATGAGGTTTGATCTAAGACTTGAATGATGAGGAGAGAATGATCTAGGGAAGAGAATTCAGAGCAGAGGGGGAGCAGCAAGGATGAAGATTCTGTTTCAGGAAGAAATGAGATATGTCTAAGGGACAGAGAGAAGTCCAGAGTGGCCTGTGCCCTTGAAAGAAGCTGTGCACTTCATTCCAACTGCAATGGGAAGGCTTTGGATGGTTTTACCTGGGAGGGGTATCATGGCCTTTCAGCCCTGGGAATACTGCTCCAGCTGCCATGTGGGGACTGGAAGCAGAGAGAGCCATTGCACTGGCTTTGTGCCACCTCTCTCCACCACTTTCTTCCCCATGCTGAGCATCTTGTGGCCACCTCTGCTCTACACATGCAGCCCATGCAGACAGGGCCTCAGCAGGGACATGGTCCTATAGGGCAGGTCACACCGAACAGCAAGTTCTGCCTCTCTTCTCCTTAGACTGTCCTCAGTCCAGACCGAAAACACTGCTTGAAGGATAACTTGTAACATAAAATTTGGAGTCCCTTGTACATATTCACCCAGTTAATCTTCACAACAACTCTGTGGGACAGGTCTTATTGTGCTCCCCAGTTACAGAGGAGGAAACTAATAGAGGTTATATAACTTGTCCAAGACCAGAAAGTTCATAAGTGGCATCAAGAATTAGGGGCAGCCAGCCTGGCTCCAGAGTCCAGATATCAACCACTGTTCTCCCCGGCTTGAGGTGTGGCTTTCCTCCTCAATGTGGCCATACTCCAGTGGCCGGGACAAGAGATCTACAGGCAGTATAAGATGCAAGAAGCACCACGGGGATCTCTGGAAGCTAACACTTTCAGGGGCTATTTCTTAGAAGAAAATAAACTTCCACTGGCCCAAAGAACAAGTGTGCACTGATGAAGGGGAGATGGAGTAGCTTCTCAATTGAAGGGTGAGGAGCAGAGACACAGGTTTGTAGCAGGGAATAGGCTTGTGTGTTTGGAAGAAGATGAGGACTGGGACAACACAAAGGGTGGAGGTGAGGAGTTGCGGGGTGTAGCACGTGTAGCTGAAGCCAGACCAGGGAGTCATTTGATACCTTTCATTTTTTATGCCCATTGCAGGAAGCCATTGGAAGCTCTAACAGGCTGGGGGGGAGAAACCAATGTGAAAGTGAAAAAGGCATGGTAGTGAAATCACATGACTTGAAGCCTTAAGACTGGATGAGACACGATCCCACAGGAATTCTCAAGTATTCTCTCTAGAACTAACTGATCAAAATCCAATTATGCTAGAGTTTCCATATGACCCAGCAATTCTACTCCTATGTATGTCCCCAAGAGAATTGAAAACACATGTCCAGAAACATGTACATGAATGTTCATAGCATTATTATTCATAATGGCCAACAAGTGAGAACACCACAAATGTTTCAGCTGATAACAGATACGATATGGTGTAATCACACCTGATAGGATCCAACCATAAAAAGAAATGAAGTTACAACATGGATGAAGCTTGAAAACAAGCCAAGTGGAAAGAGCCAGTTACAAAAGGCAACGTGCTGTATGATTCCATGCATATGAAATGTCCAGAAGAGGCGACTCCATAGAGATAAAAAGCAGATGAGTGGTTGCCAGGGACTGGAGGATGGAGAGGACCTGCTAATGGGAACTAGCTTTCTCTTTGTGGTGATAAAAAATGTTCTAAGATTAATTGCTGAATCTCTGTGTTGTATATGCCTGAAACTGATATAACAGCATAGGTCAATGACAGACACTTCAATAAAATTTTTTTGAATGTTCTAAAGTTAGATCATGGTGATGGCTGTACAACTCTGTAAATATAGTAAGAACCGTCAAATTGTGTGCTTTACAACAGTGAATTTTATGGTAAGTGAATTATATCTCGATAGAGCTGTTAAGATTCATTGTTTGATTCCTTGTGAAGAGGACCAAACAAATTAAAATTTCTGTCTGGTGCTGGGACTCACCTTGCGTGCTGCTTGTTGAAACCGCCTCTGCGCCCTAAACCTGTTGACCCAAGTATTATTAATGAGTGGGTCAAAATTAGGATGGAATTCCTTGATTTTCTGTGAAAATGGAACACAGGCACATCTTAGATTTAAATTTTAACTCCAGGTATGAGCACTTAACAAAAATGTTTTAGAGTCTGATCCTAAATCAAGTTATTATTTATTTGTTCTGACATGCATGGAACGAGCATTTATTCATCACTTTTGGTGTACATAGCAGTATAGGGAATCCTTCTTGTGTGGGGGTACCAAAAGTGGGATTTGAGATTTGGGTTTTAAGAAATTGACAGTGTGGTTAGAGAAGCTTAAGCAAACACATGCAGCCCTGAAGAAGATGAAGAAAGTCATAGTGAAATCAGTCCTACGTGGTGGGTGCTGGCACTGCCTACATAAGCGAGAGGAGCAGACCCTATGATCCCCACTTCGCTCACCCCTGCCTGGGATCACCACCTTGTGCCTGCGTATTATGGCACTGGGTGCATAGACTGTGGAGGAACTGATGCCTGCGGGTACACTAGGGCCAGCCAGAGCCTCAGGCACTGTAGGTGCTTCAGAGAGAAGCAATATGAAGAAAAAGGCATCAAAAGTGAATTAGGGGCATCTTGGTGACTCAGCTGGTCAAGTGTCTGCCTTTGGCTCAGGTCATGATTCCAGGGTCCTGGAATTGAGCCCAGAGTCGGACTCCCTGCTCAGCTGGGAATCTGCCTCTCTCTCCCTTTGCTCCTCCCCCTGCTTGTGCTCTGTCTCTTGCTCTCTCTCAAAATAAATAAATAAAATCTTAAAAAAGAAAAAAAGCAATTTAGTCTTTTGAGATGCCTGGGTGGCTCCGTTGCTGAGCATCCAACTCTTGATTTCAGTTTAGGTCATGATCATTGGGGTTGTGGGATTGAGCCCTGCATGCATCAGGCTCCACACTCAGTGGGGAGTCTGCTGGAGATTCTCTCTCTATCCCTCTGCCTCTGCTCATGTGCACACACTCTCTAGCTAATAAATAAATAAATAATCTTTAAAAAAAAGGAATTAGTCTCACATTGGCACATGCAGTGGGCTAGAGGGGAGAGGGAGGAGGGCAGATACATGAATAAACAATCTGTCTGATTAGTTGAGGGCAAGACATGAAGGCTGAACTCAGGTGTGGCTTTGTGCAATAGCTACAGGCAAGACTTTGTGGCCAGATTAAACGTGGGAGAGAAGAAAAGAGGTAAAAAAAAAAATTCAGATGTGACAATCCCAGAGATGAAAATTGAGAATGATGGGGTCAGGGGGACATCAGGAAGAATTTTGTCACTGTTACAATTAAAGATTGGGGTTTTGGGCCAGCCCCGGTGGCGCAGCGGTTTAGCGCCGTCTGCAGCCCAGGGTGTGATCTGGAGACCCTGGATCGAGTCCCATGTCAGGCTCTCTGCATGGAGCCTGCTTGTGTCTCTGCCTCTCTCTCTACATCCCTGCATCTCTAGGAATAAATAAATAAAATCTTTAAAAAAATAAAGATTGGGGTTTTAACCAGATATTATCACATGACAGAGGACTCTGATGAAGGGGCCACTGTTCCCATTTTATGTTTGGGACACTGGGTTTTTCCCAGGTCCCAAATCTGTAGGAGAGCTAGGTCTCTGCTTCTGGCTTCCTGTTGTATATCCTGCCCTCCAAGCCAGGGGATGAGGAACAGAGGCCCAAGGACCCACCAGGAGGACCTGCAGACAGAGGCTTGGAGAGCAAAGGAAATCAAGGAGACCAAGAAGGAGAAAGTATACAGGCAGAAAGGAGAAGCCAAAAAATTTAATGCTATTGATTTCAGGGGAAACATTAATAATGACTTTTGATGCCTCACTTGCAAATATATAGTAAAAGACATTCTGAAAATACAAATGAAAATGTAAATGCAAATTAAAACTTAGTAAACATCTCTTGGTAAAAGCATGTCTATAAAATTGTTTAGTGTTTTAAAAATAAGCACATAAAGGGCTGCCAATAATTAGCTCCCAAATAAAGGAAAGTTACTTACTTCTTCTAGGTTGTGAACAACACGTTTGTGGTTGACTTCTGTCGTGAGGCGCTGAAATTCCTCATCCAAAACAGGATCTCCCCTATCTAGCTGGGTTTTTTAATCATTGAAAATATTAAAATTGCATACAAATACACACAACTGTTTATCTCTTTAAAACTGATAGAAACCCATCAAAGGATTGGTCACATCTACCCATGAGGTCTGGTTGGGAGTGGGTGACAAGGTTAAAGTGACCACTGTAATTAAATTCACTGTTTATATATAGGGGATTGTTGCAGACACATGGATTCAGCACTTTATTTTCATAACCAGGGGACAGTGGCTCTAGAAATCATTTCCAAGCCATTAAAAATTCACAGAAAAGATTTTAAGAAACTGAGTAACCATGGGAGTGGATTGATTTCATTTAAAAGAAACTTCTCAGTAAAGTTGCAAGCTCTTCAGAGCTGATTATCCCAGGATGCGGTTTAACAAAGGCGCATAATTCCTGCCCTCTCCTGGGTGATGTAGCTGGATCAGGGTCTGCCCCTTCTCTGGAGTAAGTGTCCTCTCATAGGCTGCTCCCCTTCCCCACCTCTGGCTTCCCTGTGCCTCCTCTCCCACCCCCCAGCTCTCTCCTATTCCCCCAGAGCCATGGGACACTCCCCTCCAGGCTGGCTGGCTGGGCTTGGATTGGTCTACGTACACCTGCCTCCATGGAAAAGGGGACCATATATGCTGCAATAGCTTGGTTTGTTTTTAACCTGTGGTTTTTATTACTTGTTTGTTAAATTACTTCCAAATATAGCTTGGCTTGTATGTATGCTGTTCATGGTCCATTTTTAAAACACTTAACTGGAAGAAATCTATTCTGGTCACTACATTAACAAGAGAAGAGAGTTCTATTACGGTCACCAGGTGGTGAGCTGTCTAGGTCTGATTAGCACTCTTCAGGGAGTTGAGTCTGAGACCATGGACTTTTGCCTCAAAGTGTAGATTTTGTGGGGAGAGACTCAGACATCCACCACCACTGAAAATTAAACAACTTAGAAAAGGGATTGGGGGACGCCTGGGTAGCTGAGCCGTTGAGTATCTGCCTTTGGCCCAGGGCGTGATCCTGGAGTCAAGGGATCGAGTCCCACATCGGGCTCCCTGCAGGGAACCTGCTTCTCTCTGTGCCTGTGTCTCTCCCTCTCTCTCTCTCTCTGTGTGTGTGTCTTTCATAAATAAATAAATAAAATCTTTAAAAAAATCATTACAACAAAATACTTAAATCCTCTGTCTCTAACAAAACAGTTTTCAAAAAAAAAAAAAGGGATTGGCAAGGTAGTTAGCTAGAAGAGAGAGGAGGGTGAGTGAGGTCTTATATCTTTATCAAGGCTCTATTTATTTATGATGAATGTTCTAGAATTTACCATCACTGGTCATCTCCTGAGTGAAAGCCCATCATCCCACTGTAACGCCCACACCTGCCACTTCTTCCACATGCCCTGGCCCTCCAGGTGTTCCTTGCCACTGGGTCACCTGCCAGGATTCAGATGCCTGATGAAATCTTCCAGGCACACAGAATACAGTCTCTGTAACACTTGCTATCCATCTGCATTGGGGCTCGTCCTTTCCTGCTTCCTGTGGGCACCTCTGCAAACGCTCATTCCTCTCTGCAGGCCTCTCTCCAGCCCCTGCTCCTGGCTATCTCTGCAGCTGGGTTGGCTTCCTGGGCCACCCAGAAGGACAAGTCCACATGCAGCCTTCAACAGCTCTCTCTCTGCATGCAAATCTGACTACACCATGGTCCCTTCTGGTCAGTGTCAACCTTTCTCTCCAACCACAGCCTACTCCCAAACTTCTTCAGCCTTTTCCTCTGTGATTGCTCTTTGCCCTCAGCATACAAATATTCTCAAGTTTTCCAACTTAGAAACCCCCTCCTTGACACCTCAGCCCCCTCTAATGGTCCATGTCCTGACTCTTCACCCCCAGTCATCTCAACTTCTCAAGAAACCATCTATTCACTTCCATGCATTCCGAGCCATAGCAATTTGGCTTTTTACCTTCCCCTGTTTCCCAGGACTGGTATTGCCAAGGCAAACAAGGGCTTCCAAGAGACCAAACACATCATGTGCTTCTCAGGCCTTGCCATCCTGGACCCCTCCCCATCTGCTTTTTCAGTATCATCCAGTTCTCCTGACACCCGCTCCTCTGACCATTTCCCTCCTGTCTCCTTCATTGTCTGCTGCTCTCCCCTCAAATCATGAGGTTCTCTGGCTTTCCCACCTTCAGCAACCCCTCCTTGTGCCATTCACTTTCCCTAGGTCATGGCACTGTTCCGTGGTCTACTGTCTATGTCTCTGCTGAGGTAGACTTGATCCTGTGGCTGCCACCTGGATGCCCTCCAGTCCCCCCAGATGTAATATGTCCCACATTGAACTTTTCGTCTTCCCCTGTCTTGTTTTTAAGATTGTATTTATTTATTTGAGAGAGAGAGAGAGAGAGAGAGAGAGAGCAGAGCAAGAGAGAGAGCAAAAGTGGGAGAAGGGGCAGAGGGAGAAGCAGACGCCCTGCTGAGCAGGGAACCCGATGCGGGGCTCTATCCAAGGACTCTGGGATCATGACCTGAACAGAAGGTAGAGGCTTAACAAACTGAGCCACCTAGGGGCCCCACCCCCTTCTTTGATATTAGGAATCTCATTTAAAATCGCCAGCATGGACCCAAGCTGGACACCTAGGAATCATCCTATCCTCTCCCTTTCTTTACTCCTCAGTCACTGTACTTGGCACATTTTAAATTGTCTCTTAATGTTTCTGTGCCCCTTCTGGACTGTGGCTTCTTGAGGGCAGGGATGGTGGCTTATTCACTAGCACAGAGTCTTACCGACAAAGACCCCTCATTAAATACACTTGCAAAATAAAGACACAGTTGGGTTTGCCTGTCGACCAAATGCTGGCAATTCCAGCCTTCACTGTCACATTGACCTGGTCATCCCACGTTTGTGTCACTTTCATCTTTAAAACATCTAGAAAATATCATCCCATTGTGGGGTGGACAGAAGACTTAATATTTTGTTTTAGAAAGTCAAATGCCAGCAAATGGCACTACAATCAAACTAAATTTAAATGCCAATCTAACAGGTGCCTTCCCTAAATGCTAAGATATACTAATGTAAGTAATCATCCTATATTCTTTCTTTTGTCTCTTACAAAAAATAAAGAAATGCAAGATAAATTTATTCAAATATCTGATCTGGACTCAGAAAGAAAATCTAGAGGGGGCATCTGGATGGCTCAGTCCATTAAGCGTGTGCCTTCAGCCATTAGCTCAGGTCAGGATATCAGGGTCCTGGGATTGAGCCCTGCATTGGGCTCCCTGCTCAGCAGGGAGTTTCCTTCTCCCTCTGCTTCTGCCCCCGGCTCTTATACTCTTTTCTTCTCAAATAAACAAATAAAATATTTTTTTAAAAAGAAAAAATCTAGGAAGAAAGGGGTATTCTATTGAGAAATATATTCATATCCAACAAGATCCCTATTTTCCCCCAATCTCTCCTACCCAATGCCGCCTCTGTGTGTAGCACTGAGTGTGGGAAGCTTACACTCTCAAGCTTAAATATGTGTATTATGGTTGAATTATGTCCCTCTGAAATTCATATGTTGAAATCTTAACTCCTAGTCACATCTTTGAAAATAGTTTTTGAAAATGTAATCAGTTTAAAAGGAGGTCATAGGGTGGACCCTCCTCCAATGTGACTGGTGTCCTATAATTTATAAGTGGAAATTTGGAAAAGACAACAATGTGAAGGCACAGGGAAAAGATGATCTACAAGTCAAGAAGACAGATCAGTCTCTCATATCTCTTGGAAGGAACCAACTCTACCAGCACCTTCATCTTAAGCTTCTAGAGTGGCAAGAAAATATATTTCTGTTGTTTACACCACCCAGTCTATGGTACACTTTGTTATGGCTGCCCGAGCAGACTAATATGATATGGGATGATTCTGCAAGTCCTACCCTGCAAGTTCTACAAAGGCTGAACCCCTTAGACAGGAAGCCCAAGCCAAGTCCTATCTCCTCTGGCCCATGTGTGTCCTGTGCTCCAGTGACTATGGGCCTGTCCCCAATGTCCCCTGCCACCTGCCCTCAGGGAACAAGGTCTCTCACACCGTGGTGAGGTTGGGAGTGTGGCACTCTACCTACCATTCCCATCTCCACCCTCCCCTCTCTGAGCCCACAGTTACTGCCTTGGGAACCCTGCCATGATCCCTTCCTCTCAATCAGTTTCCAACCCCCTGCTCAGCCCTCTTGTGTGTCTCTGACTTAGAACTTTTGTCTGGCTCTGGCATCACTCCTGGTCACTGTCTTTGGGTCCCTCTTACTTTCATGCCCTGCAGATCATGGGATAGGTGTACATCATGCCCAAAATTCCAGCCTGAATTCGAGGCATTACCCTCCCTCTGAATCGAATGCCTTTGTCCTTTTACTACCTTTCAAAATCATACCATGTCTTCCAGGAAGTTTTCCACTCAGATGAGCTCTCTCTCTTCTCTGGCTTTTGACACCCCACAATACTTAGTATAGGTCTCTTGTGACATCTACAGCCAGCCTTGATTTACAGTTAACAATTGTCATCAGCCTCCTCCCCTCCCAACTGAACTATGTTTTCTTTCTTCTGATGTGGCATGTTGCATATAGCAGGAGTTCAAACTATTTAGTGCAATCAATATCATCGAATTGGCAGTGATTCTGACCTTATATTTGGCGTTTTCTCTTTGCCGTTGTTCAGTGAGGTCTTTTCTAAATTTAAAAGACATATGATCTTTACCAAGGTGCACCTGCCTGGAGAGAAAAAAAAAAACTTCCAGCTTCCAGAACCTGTAAGAATACCATGGTCAATTTGGAGATGGAGTATCTTGTTGATTCTCCACAAAGGGTGCTGAGGAAGGGTGCTGAGATTCTGGAGGAGGGCCATGGGGGAGAGAAGATGTAGAGACTACAGCACCATAACTGACATGAAGACTGTTCTACAAAAGGAAGCTTCTCTTCTAGCCATGCATACTGAATATGTATAAGTTAAAAAAATCTGGATTATCAACATCACTAGTCATTAGGGAAATGCAACTCAAAACCACAATGACTGATGTGCTACATTACACCCACTAGGATGGTGATGATGATGATGATGATAAGAGTGAAGGAAAAAAACAGGTCTTGCCAAGGATGTGGACAAATTGGAACCCTTGTACATTGCTGATGGGAGTGTACAAAGGGTGCAGGGTGCAGCCACAGTGGAAAACAGTCTAGCAGTTTCATATAACCAAGAAATTCCCCTCCTAGGTATATACCCCAGAGAACTGAAAAGATATGTTCACACAGGAACTTGTATGTAAATGTTCACAGCAGCATTATTCATACGAGTCAAAAAGTGAAAACCACCCAAATGTCCATCATCTGATAAATGGGTAAACAAAATGTAATATGGCCATGCAATGGAATAGTATGCAGTCATAAAAAGGAATGAAGTCTTGATAGATGCTATGATGTAGATAAACCTTCATATCACATTAAAGAAGCCAGTTACAAAAAGGCCCCCTAGGTATATATGATTCCATTTATTTGAAATGTCTGACATAGGCAAATCTACAGAGATATAAATCAGATTGGCAGTCATCAAGGGCTGAGAGGGGAGAGAGGAACTGGGAGTGACTGTTTAATGGATGTGGGGTTTCCTTCTGGAGTAATGCAAATGTTTGGGAGTCGAGTGGTGGCGATGGTTGCACAATCCTGTGAATATACTAATAACTTCTGCATTGTACACTCTAAAACAGTTAACATGGTGAATTTTGTGCTTGGTGAATTTGACCACAGTTTAGACAACTCTAGTATATAATATATCAATCATGAAGCCTGGCACATGTTCAAAATAAATAGTAGCTATGGTTTTAAAAGGGGAGAAGTTGTCTGGAGAACTGTTTGACCGAAGCAAACTAGAGAGACTTGGAAGCTAAATACAAATTGTCTGACCTTTGTTTGGATGCTGGATTCTTCTCCAAAAACAAACCAGCCAAAAGTACAGATAGAAAGGGCATTATTGAGACAATCAGGTAAATCTGCATATAGGCTGGTGATTATAATGTCATGGCATCAACACTCGATTTCTTAGCAGTGATTATGGTAATGTCGCAGCATGTCCTAGTCTTAGGAGGTACGTGCTAATGTGTCTAAGAGCGAAGCTTCATGATGTCAGCAACTTACTTTCAAATGCTTCAAAAAAAGGTGTGTGTGAAGTGTGCATTTGTGTGTGTGTGTGTTTGTGTGTGTGTAGACAGGGGAAGTATATTTGGCATAATGTCAACAACTGGTGAACCTCTGTAAGTGTATATGGGTGTTACTGGCAGGTTTAAAAAGTTTTCAACAAAAAAAGTCGGGGGAGAAAATATTCAGTGAATAACCCAGCAATCAAAACTGAATTTAGGGATTTGGGGCACCTGGGGAGAGACGGGGTGCTGGTGGCAGTGGCCAGCAGGGAGCAGTGTCCTGGTGTCTCCCACAGTTCACTCAGGTTATGCGACTGTCTGGTGTCACTTAGGCAAGAAAATAGCTTGGTCGCAGTGATTTATGCCCAATGGAAACTTCTAAAGTTCACTGGAGGAGAGGAAATAATCAAACTTTTCAAAGGGCATAAAAAGCAATTATGTTTCATCGTGTCTCATGTATAACAAGCCATTACTAAAAACACTGTACTGTCCCTTGGTATAAATAATTGCTCAATATTTACCACTTAAGGTGATTTTCAATCTCTTCATAAGTGTCGTGTCTGACTTTCTGTTCAAAGAGTGCTTCCTTCATCTGTCTTGTTTTTGAAATCTCGTGGCCTTGGTCCAAGACTGAGGGCAGGAGCAAACAATGATTATACTAGTAATCAAATCAGAATCATTTGCTGAGAGAAAAACACATTTCTAATGGCAAAACATAACAGCAGTCTAACTCAGTTTTGCTGTTGTTGTTCATAAATAGTAAATGTGACAAGCAATAATTCTTTCCTGTTCTGCCAGCGGCTGATTTATAATGGATCAACTAGTTACCTTCTCTTAATTCTTTAATCTTCAATTTTCCTGGTTCTTGGTTTAAAACAGTTGCGACAGCAAATGGATTCGATAAATCTACCGGGAATCTCAGGTTCTGATAGTCAATTTCCTGAGACCAAAATCAGGAGGGAAAATTCATTATTTTGCTTCTCTATCCTTCCTTCCATCGTGCTGAGAATAATGCCCAGGTTACCTTAATCTTTGGAGGCTTTAGTTTTTGTGGCATTCGCTGAAAATGTATTTGTGTCATCGCCTTTTCTGGAGGAACGTCCACTCTTTTAGAAAGAGCATTTAATCTTTCAAATTCTTCTAATCTATAGTTTAAAACAGGTATTAAATTACTATATGTTCCAATAACTCAAGGTTCCTATTTTTTAAGGCTTTTTATTTTTAAGCAATCTCTGCACCTAACATGGGGCTCGAATTTACAATCCTGAGATCAAGATTCACATGCTCTACTGAATGAGCCAAGCAGGTGTCCCACAAGGTTCCTATTTTTATGTTCCTTCTGATAATATCATAACTTTTGGTCTGTTAATGACTATATCTAAATGAAAAATAAATCTGTGTGCTAAAACAGTGGTCTACTAAAATCAATGTAATGTCTATACCAGAGTGTAATCCTCTATGTCAAAATAGTCTACCAGCGCCTGCTATTCCTCACCTTCTCAAAGAACATAACAAGTGGACAATGTGACATGCTGAAAAATGCTCTCCTGGTCTAGTGTTATTCATTTCTAGGCTGTTGGTTTTCAATAGCTAAATCTACTACATTGAAAAAATCTTATAATGATTTATGCTCCTAGTAAAAGCATGATTATGCCCACTGTTTATAGTAAGATCTTTTTAAAAAGTGGTGCAGATTAATGAAAACTGACTTTGGACATATGGAGGTATAGACAGTGCTACTACCATGCCTAGAGAAATTCCTGGAGTTATTTATTATGAGCTGTAGTAGAACTACATCATGTTCAATGCCATGAAGCACTTCCTTAAAGGAGAATGTGCGAACACTTGTTTTGCAGGATTACATATGTCCATTATATTACAGAAATAAGAATACACCAACATTCATTCATTCTGATGAATGAACATTCGCTGAGCACCTACTGAACAGGCTCCACTGCACAACATAGGAGACATGCCAGCAATCGCAAACTTAAGGTCGCCTATGTAAGAGTACCCTGAAAGCTCAATGCCCGAGAGAACGTGTCCTTTGATGAGATACATACTGACCAATAGGCTATGATGTGCAGGGCAGAGACACTGGGTTATGGAAGTGGCTGTGGCCCAGCATCCACACCTCATCAGAGCTTACTTACATCACCTCTGCTATAAATATTGGGAAGTTACAAAACATTTTTGAAGGTGTTAAAAAATTAAGTTCCTTAGGCACCTGCATGGCTTAGTTGGTTAAGGGTCTGCCCTCAGCTCAGGTCATGATCTCAGGGTCCTGGGATCAAGCCCCACATAGGGCTCCCTGCTCAGCGGGGAGTCTGCTTGTCCCTCTTCCTCTGCCCCTCCCCTCGCTCACACTCTCTCTCAAATAAATAAAAATATTTTAAAAAATTAGATTAAGGAATCTTTTTTTAAAAAAGATTTTATTTATTTATTCATGAGAGACACAGAGAGAGAGGCAGAGACACAGGCAGAGGGAGAAGCAGGCTCCCCGCAGGGAACCAGATGTGGGACCTATCCTGGGGCTCCAGGATCAGGCTCTGAGCCAAAGGCAGATGCTCAACTGCTGAGCCACCCAGGCGTCCCTAGATTAAGGAATCTAATTGCTGATAATGGAAATGAAGGGGTCTAAGAAAGTGATAAATTGTAATAAGGAGTTACTCATGGAACTTGAGTAGGTCCCTCACACACCATATTCTGAAACAACAACAAAAAGCAACCTGTGAAACTTTCAGAGAACACTGTGGCTAGGATAATTTTTTTCCTTCGTGGTGCAACTCATATGTTATAGTACTATGCACAGTCTGGGGAGACATGCAGGTCTTGAGATGTAGTCCTTGCAAACATTAAGACTGCACTAAATGAGATGAACTGAACTCCAGCTGGGTGACCAAAACATAATAGTTTAGAGATAGTGTATGTCTGCATTTGCAGGGGGCTTCTTCCAGCTTCTACCAGACAACGCTCTTGTATATTTAAGAACATGTCTGTGGGAAGCAAAAATCCCACTCAAGTGATGTCCTTAAGAAAGCCATTTGTATATTGCAGCATATGATGTGACATGGTAAATAGCATTTTCTTGGCCAGTTATCTAATACCAGAAAAATTACTACTCTCTTTTATTTATATCCAATGCTGCTTGTTTATTGCCAGAATTAGTTTATATCTACCAAGGTTACTTGCAGGATTTGGGTTCAGCAGGTCACACTAACATTCTATAGTTGATTTAGGCTGCTTTGAATTTTTAGGAACAAAATCATAATATAAATATATAATAACATTGGGTGTTATACTATATGTTGGCAAATTGAATTTAAATTAAAAAACATATAATAAATCATGAGGTTAGTTCATATTTTGATATAAGAATGTTACTCTACTTTTTAAAAAGATTTTATTTATTCATGAGAGACACAGAAAGGCAGAGACATAGGCAGAGGGAGAAGCAGGCTTCCTGTGGGGAGCCTGATGCGGGACTCGATCCCAGGCCCCCAGGACAAGACCTGAGCTTAACCACTGAGCCACCCAGGTGCCCCTGTAACTCTACTTTTAATACACGTAATGATGTTAAAATGTGATGTGTATCTATATGTGAGGGGAGAGAAGCAATATCCAGCTATTTATCATTTTCAAAAATCTGTAAGGATTTCCCAAGGTTAGAATTTATACTGTGACAAGTTTTCCTTTAGCTTTTATAAAAATCATGCATACAAGGAGAAGCTTATCATTTTGACCAAGTACATTGGGATATAAAAATACAAGCTCACATTCAAAAGGAAGTAGAAGTTCAGAAAAAAATTGTTATGAAATAAAACTTAATCCCATTTCACACCTTTACTCTGACCTGAATGCTTATGATTCCTAAAAAACAACACCCACCCACCCCCCCCGCCAAAATCCAACAAAACCTCCCATGTGGCACGTTTTCATTTTTGCCTTACACTGAAGTCACTTGTTAAACATGACTTATTTTGGCTTCTCTGCTGTGAGCATCTTCAGAATGTGGACTGTGTCCCATGAGGCTTTGCAATGGACACCGCACACAACAGGCACTCAATTATAATGTCGGGATGCCTGGGTAGCTCAGTGGTTGAATGTCTGCCTTTGGCTCAGGGCGTGATCCCTGGGTCCAGGATCGAGTCCTGCATTGGGCTTCCTGTGAGGAGCCTGCTTCTCCCTCTGCCTGTGTCTCTGCCTCTCTCTCTGTCTCTCATGAATAAATGAATACAATCTTTAAAAAAATTAATTATAGTGTTATATTGGCATTTCAAAAATGGTTATGTTCTTCCTGTCTTATTATTTAAATTTGAAAGAGTGGGGCGCCTGGGTGGTTCAGTCAGTTAAATGTCTGGCACTTGATTTCGGCTCAGGTCGTAATTCAAGGGTCGTGGTATCAAGCCCCTTGTCGGGCGGGCTTTGTGCTCAGTGTGGAGTCTGATTAAGATTCCCTCTCCTTCTGCCTCAGCCTCTCCCACTTGTGCACACATGCACTCCCTTTCTCAAATGAATAAATAAACCTTAAAAAAATAAAATCGAAGGAGTGCAATACATATGGTCATATATATACATATATGTAACATACATATATATAATACATGCATATGGTCAAAAGTTGACCAGCACAGCAGCAGTAATCAAGGAAAGCAAGTATCCCTCCTTCCACCTCTTCTTGATCATATTTTCCCCTCTTGGCAGAAACAACGACTGCGACAAGCCTAGAGCTATTCTATGCATTACTGTTATATTTTTAAAGAGTATTTTCTGAAAGCTCAACATTTTAAGTACGGTTTTGATGGCATTCTGTTATAAGAAAGACAGAATGCAAGAAATAGAGACTTGGATTCTTTTTATAAAAAAGTTTTAGGAAGAAACAAAGACATTCCAAAGCTGCCATACGGTAAAGCCACGTTGGGATGGCACGTTCCGGTGAAGACACATTCATATGGCTGAGAGTTGAACTGTGAGATCCACAGCTGCATTTTTATCTGTGCAATCCCATACTGAAATGGTGTGAATTTGACAGTCACGTTCATCTTCCCATTAGCTGGGATTATTCCTGAGGGGAAAGAAATGAGACAACAGGATTCTTTCTCTTGTGAAGCCCTGTCAAAGAGGCTCACACACACACATACAGACACGTTCTTCCCGTGGTAAGCACAAGTATTTCTATTTTCTTTATATATAGTCTTTTCATTAAATCCATGTGAATCAACCTCTGCATGTTTGCATTGATCTTATTTGCCAATTGCTGTGTTAATTATTTATAATAATTATTTGACTGTCAGTTATATAAATAAACATCCATCAGTGTGAGTCAGATACGTGCTCCTAGAACTATAATGTTTAAGCCAATTACCAGATGTTGGTGTTTGGTGGGTTTTTTTTTTTAAGATTTTCTTTATTTATTTGGGGGGGGGGGAGAGAACAAACAGTGGGGTGGGGCAGAGGGAGACAGAGAGAGAGCAGCAGATTCCCCACTGAGCAGGAAGCCTGATATGGGGCTCGATCCCAGGACCCTGGGATCATGACATGAGCCCCAAAGGCAGAATGCTTAACCGACTGAGCTACCCAGGTGCCCCCAGATGTCAATGTTAATGCTGTAACAAGGAAAGCTAGGAACATACATACAAGTTTCTGTCCAAATAATCCAGTTCCCAACATTTTGGTGTCATTTGAATCTCTCCTTCCAAATCTTTGGGATGAACCACGGCTCCCTCTGAAGTCCAATATCCCACCATGCCTTATTCCTCTTTTGCATCTCTAGTATCAACAGGGCTTGGAACATAGTAAGTGCTCAACAAGCATGAGAAGAAAGATAAAAGGGAGAAAGGGAAGGAGCGAGAGAGAGGGAAGAAAAGAGGAAGCATCAATGTAGTAGACACAAGACAGGCTAATGTTCTCTCTGATTGCCACTGAAGGCTCTTTGGTTTGCCTTCTAGATAATTCCTTATGCCCCTCCTGTATCTTGCCTTTACACGGTCCCTGTAGGGGCTCTACACAATTCCCTCATATTAACTTGGCATACCCTCCTTCCTATGTAGGCACTTCTCCAAATCTAGTACCACTGTCTCCTTTGTTCTCTATGCTCAACCACATGAGCCTTTCATTTGGCCATCCAAGTATTCACTAAGCACTTACTGTGTGCCAGGCAATGTGTTAGGCACCTGAGAAACAGGAATAAACAGAACAAAGTCCCAGATCTCACAGGGTTTACATTCTAGCTGGAGACAGCAAACAAGCAAACACAAAATGAATGTAAAATATAAAGTCATGTCATGAATACCAACAAGAAAAATAAAGCAGGGTATGAGGGAGGCAGGCAAAACATGTCATGCTATTTAAGAGGGGATGAACAAAAGGCTTCTCTGGTGAGAAGATGTTGCAGCCAAGACCTGAAGGAGGAAAAGGACCCAGGCACTCACCGTCCCACAGTGTGCTCCTGCTGCCTCAGGGCCTTGGCGTTTGCTATTTCCTCAGCCTGGAAAGCCCTTTGTCCAGATCTTCTTTTAGTTTTTTAATCCTACTCTCTTAAATCACTGTTTTGCCATCTGCCCTCCCCTAGGCTCAAATACAGTTTTACAAAAGCAAGGTACCTGCCTGTTACTATGTTCCCAGCCCAATAAACACTTGTTGAATGAGTGAATGAACCAAGTTTCACAGGAAACTCCTCCTGATTCTCCATCCTTAGGAACCTTCACCCCACCACACACTTCTGTCAGCCCTGTGGTACCCAGGTGCCACCTAGACTGTTACCTTCTCAAGTTCATAACTCTCCCACTAGACTGCAAGGCCCTAAAGCTGACACTGGGCCCCAAAGCCCTGGATTCCTAGGGCAGTGCTTCAGAAATAACTATTTGTCAACTTCCTGAAGTACCAGTCCAAATCTTTTTTTAAAAAATTCAATATTTTATTTATTTATCTGAGGCAGAGAGAGAATGAGAGAGCACAAACAGGGGGTGGAGAGAGGGAGAAACAGACTTCCCACTGAGTAGGGAGTCCAATATGAGGCTTGATCCCGAGACCCTGAGATCATGACCTGAACTGAAGGCAGATGCTTAACCAACTGAGCCACCCAGGTGCCCCCAGAAGTCCAGATCTTTAAATAACATCCACTAGTGACCCAAGAGCTCACTGCAGGGGTGAGTGAATCAGCAGAAAGGCAATGTTCCATAGGCCAACCTAGGATCAGCTGAACAGAAACTCCAAGGTGTGCTGTTCAGTACCTTGACCACCTACTAGGTCAGAAAATACACTATCTGACCTGTAGTTCACTGGGGGCTTTAGATGAAGAACATTCTATTGCTTCTGTTCTAGCTCATTAACTTACAAAAAAAAATAACAAGCTCTGGAGCAAGGATTCATGTTTGCCTTGACCTGGCTGATTTATTTTTAAGTGCTTTCAGCCCACACCTAATACATAAAGCACACTGGAGGTGTAGCCCGGGCAACCAGAATACACTGCTTTTTTCCATTATCAGGGATACCAGTTAGCACAGCTCTGTTAACGGAACTTGGCTGCAGCTGATTGTCAGATGTTAATAGCTCTTAGAGGCGTGCCTACCTAGCAGAGGCAGCCTACTGCTTGGAGAAAACTAATGATGGGAGAAGGGACTTGCTAGTCTCCCATTTTTTTTAAAGCTTTTTTTTTTTTAAGATTTAATTATTTATGATAGACAGAGAGAGAGAGAGAGAGAGAGAGAGAGAGAGAGAGAGAGAGGCAGAGACACGGGAGGAGGGAGAAGCAGGCTCCATGCCGGGAGCCTGACATGGGACTCGATTCCAGGACTCCAGGATTGCTCCCTGGGCCAAAGGCAGGCACTAAACCGCTGAACCACCCAGGGATCCCCAAGTCTCCCGTTTTTAAAGTGAGAAGGCTTCCCCTGCCCCCGAATTACAACTCTGTTTTAAAAAACCCAAACCCTGATTTAATGGCTTCAGTTAAATTTCAGATCACCACCCTTAACATCAGCGGGGCTAATGTTAAATCACAGGGCAGGGAGGCTGGTAAGGCAGAGGGAGAGAGGAAAGGAAAATTGAGAAATAAATTAAAGGCTAAGAAAATTCTAGTCTATCAATAAAAAAATAATGAAGAAAATGTAGCAACCTGAAAAATGCCGTAATGATTAATGAAGTGACCAGAAATTATCACTGGATCTTTGCCTTGATGATAACTATGTAAAGTATGCATAAATACAGCCAATCACTAAAAGGAGATAGGAAAATAAAAGTATGTTATTTGTTAGGGCGGTTAGGCCCAGGATGGGGATCATTTTTTAAACATTTTTCTTTCATGTCCATACAGCATCATTACAATATTGTTATACTTTTAAAATAACTTTTTCTTCAAAATCCTCAGAAAGCACAGATTATCCTTCCTAAATTATCACAGAGTCATGTAAGCCACATGCTTGAAGTGTTAGTAAGTATTGGTTTTAATCTTCCAGGATTTAGGGTTTTACGAGCTGTGTGATTTGGGGTAAATTTCTTAATCTCTCTAAGCTTTGGGTGGGAATTTAATAGCTGTGTAGTTTAAAATTTGTCCATGAACAAGCTGTTGATGAACTCTGTTTTGAATTCACTGGGCTACAGAAGGGAGGGCTTCAAGAGTGTTCCTCCCATCTGACTCACCCCTATGAATCACATGCCATGGACTGGGACACTTGCAGGCCACCATCACTGCCCAGGGCGTAGGGACAACACTGACTCTGACTCGTTGGGCCCTGTATGAGCTCTGTGGCTTGGCTTGCTACTTCACCCAAGCCACAGTTTTCTCATCAGCAAAATGGGACAAGGTTTAAAGGAGAAAAGAATGTGCAAGGTCTGGGATAATGCTAATTACTCAGTACACAGTGTGTGTCCTATAAATGTGTCCTTCCCAACGTTTGTGCCAAACAAAATAAGTAATAATTTATTGTGTCAGGAAGAGGGGGCTAGCTCCTGGCTGGTCAGTTGGTGGAATGTGTGACTCTTGATATTGGGGCTATGAATTGGAGTCCCACATTGGGCGTGGAGCCTATTTAAAGAAAAAATTACAAAATATAAAATGTCAGGGGGCTCTGGGTAACTCAGTTGGTTAAACAGTCAGCTCTTGATTTCGGCTCAGGTTGTGATCTCAAGCTCCTGGGATGGAGCCCCACTTCAGGCCCCACATTGGGCCCCATCCTCAGCAGGAAGTCTGCCAGAGATTCCTTCTCCCTCTGCCCCTCTCCTGTGTGCTCTCTCTCCCTCAAATAAATAAATAAATCTTTAAAAAATAAATAAAATAGGGGATCCCTGGGTGGTTCAGCGGTTTAGTGCCTGCCTTCGGCCCAGGACATGATCCTGGAGTCCTGGGATTGAGTCCCACATCAGGCTCCCTGCAGGAAGAGGAAATATTTCTTGGAAAAAGTTATATAGTTGACTATGAATCATGACAGCGAGGGGCACTGACCCCCTGTGAAACTGAACACCCATATATAACTTTTGCCTCCCCCAAAAAAACAAATAGCCTACTGTTGACCCAAAGTCTTACCAATAACATGAACAATTAACACATATTTGTATGCACGTTCTGTGTATGATAGGTAATATGCTTACCATAAAGCAAGTCAGAGAAAAGAAGATATTAAAAGAATCATAAGGAAGAGAAGGTACATTTGCAATTGTGCTGTACTTATTGAAAAAAATCTGCATAGAAGTGGACCTGCACAATTCAAACATGCATGATCAAAGATTAACTGTACCTGACCCATTTGAGTTCTAAAGAAGGAAGATGCAATTGCCTCATGATGCCAAGCCACGGATGAGTTTCCCAAAGCACTAGGTCTTTCTTTTTGCACCACAAAAGTGCCAAATGCAGGAGATTCTACTAGTTAAAACACAAGGGCTGGGCTGCCTCTGGGAAGGTCTATTTTAAAATTTAGGCCCAGGGGAGCCTGGGTGTCTCAGTCGGTTAAGTGTCTCCCCTCACCCTCTCATCCCCAAACCCCAACCCTGCTCATGAGTATGCGCTCTCTCGGAAGAAAAAAAAAATTTAGGCCTGGGGACTTTCTGTAAAGGGGTGAAATATGAGCGCTG